TACAGTATTTTTTTGAGGTACAACTTGTTTTGGGGAATTACTTTCTTGTGGGTGAAAATTAATTTTTATTTATTTCTATTTTTTTTATCCTCTACCCCTGCAGAAGCTTTCTCACACCAAGTGACATAGACTATAAATTGTCTCTATAATAGAGTAGTTTTTGAGGTACTCATTTTGGGGAATCATTTCCTTGGGGGTGGAAATGAATTTTTAATTATATTTTTTTCAGCTGCGATCCCTCCAGAAGCTTTCTCACTCCATGCCACCTAGCCTATAAATTGTCTGTATATTATTAGACTATTTTTTTGAGCTACAACTGATTCTGGGGAATCATTTCCTTGGGGGTGAAAGTTGATTTATAAATATATTTTTTATCTTCTACCCCTTCACACGCTTTCTCACACCATGTCACCTAACCTACAAATTGTCTTTATCATGTAGTGTGTGTGTAAAGTATTTTCTTGAGATACAACTCGTTTTGGGGAATCGTTTCCTTGGGGGTGAAAATGATGAATTTTGAATTATATTTTTTATCTGCCATCCCTTCTCTCCCTGTCACCTAGAATATAAATTGTCTCTATAATAGAGTATTTTTTGAGGTACAACTCATTTTCAGGAGTCATTTAATTGGGGGTGAAAATGAATTCTTAATTGTTTTTTATCTGCCACTCCTTCAGAAGCTTTCTCACACCATGCCACCTAGCCTCTCACACCTCTATAATAAAGTATTTATTTGAGGTACGAATCATTTCCTTGTGAATGAAAATGAAGTTTTATGTATATTTTTTTATCTGCCACCCCTTTAGAGATTTTCTCATATGCGTTTTAGCTCATTAATTACTATCAATACCATTATGTACAATAATCCGTAAGTGAAATTTATTCAAAGAAAGGTTTTGGGTTAAGTTTTGTTCCGGCGAATTATTTAATTGGGGTGGAAAACGTTTCTCCCTATATAGGTGCATTAAATATTTCTTTCTGGCTAATATGAATTTATTGTTGCGAGCTCTTAACTGTACTGGTCATTTGGGTATATTCTGCAAATTGTGTGCTACATTTTATCTGTCAACTTCACAGCTGTTTGAATTTAGAGGTGGCCACTTTCTTTTAGGTTGAGTCTTATAGCATTTATTCAGCACTATTTTTTGTTCCCAATGTTATGTTCTCATAAATTTAGAAATTTATTGTTGTCTTGTTTAATTCTTATTAGCTTTAATTTATTTTTGCAATAAACGTTTTCTTAGTTTTGAAGTTTCGTTATCTACGTGTATAAATACAAAAGAATATGCCGGCGAAACCAGTGGGCTGCAATGGTAAGTTTTTACGCCACTGATTGAGGATAAGATACGCATATTATTCAATTAATGTTGTAATCAGGTGCCGAAGCTTTCTTCACATACCATATGTTGTTTCCAATATCAAGGTTCACTGTGGTTTCAGAACCTTTTCATAAGAACATTTTAGGATTTTTGAACCCATATTTATAGGAAGTTTTTTGTTATCTTCGGGTGTACCTTCTACCCTAGAAATTGGCACGTCTTTTTGAAACTTCCTGTATAAATCGAACTCTGGCTGTTAGAAAATTAATGTTGAGTAGGAATTCTAGAATGGTGTAAAATAGTTTTGATAATACATTTCTTGGTGCATTTCATTTAAGCAAGATACTTTCACAAGGTGTGGTGGGCACTGTTTGGTTTGACCATAGGAGATCGAGTGAACTCTTAACAATGAGCACAAGACCATGATTGGTTGACCAACATCGTCAGCCACTCCCCGATTTGACCAGTGACTCTCAGGTCCCATAATGCTTATGAAAATTTGCCACATATACTACTTTGTTTTGTTGTTTCGCCTACCAATTATAGGAAAATGGATATATTCAGTGACCTTCAGCACATTCCTCATTTTCACAGAATGTAGTTCAACTTTTGTTGTAATTCCATTAACAACCTCCTTTGGGCTCATATGACAAGCTTATTTTGGCTTCTTCATCATGAAGAAAGATATTCATTATTTAAGAAGCCCTATAGAAGCATAGTGGTGTGAAGTTTCTAGTAGCCAATTTGTACGAGCATTTGGGTGAAGGTTTTTTTTTGGATGTCAGAAAGCTTTTATAAGCACTCTTAGGCAGAAAAGCTGATAATATTGCCCTATCGGCCTTTTTTGCCCGAAGTGTGAGATTCTGCAGAGACGACATACTAAATTCCCTCAGTGACACATACCACAACGGCAATCCTTGCAGCATTTCTTCATAATGGGGTAGCGTTGTGCTATGCTTTCATACCCAATGTATTAGTCATCTACTCTTCAACGTACATAAATATACATACAGTTGTACGTATATTCCTTACTAGCTGTTACCCGCGACTCCGTACACGTTAAATTGTTACTAACACATAACATTGTTTTTGACTTCATATTGCTATAACTGCATTGCATTAGTAAAGCTAACAAACTAATAAAACAACCAATTTTTTGAGATTAGCATTTTAAATAGATCTAAATTTTACATTGTAAAATCTACCTATCCGCCAAATTTCCAGTTATACAATAAATTCTTAGTTTAATTCTACTCTAAACAGAACCTCATCGTTGCCAATTTTCAGATATTGGAAAACTTCACGAAATTTAAAAGAAACTTGCAACTGCCTTTTAATCCCTTAATCCGGCCCTTCCACAAAATCAGCTCTTTGCTGAAATGTCCTTTCCATAAGCTACCTCCATGCCAAAATTCATGTCTGTATGTTAAATAGCTTCCGAGATTTCGTGATTAATGTGTATCTTTTCGCTTTATATATATATGTACAGGGTGACTTCGAAGTTGAGTCATTTATTTTAACAGTGAGTAGATCTGATCAAAAGAAATGTTTTTTCCTTTAACATTTTTCTGGTAAAATTAAAGTAACAAAGTTATAGCCCTTTAGAAGTTTGAGTACCGCCCTGTCTCAATAATAATATTATGTGATCGTGTTTGGCAACAATGGATATAATCCGCCTTATCGGTTCATCGCATCGGAAACAAAAAAGCGAAAGAATTTGAAACGCTTATCACGATGTTTGTAGTTGTATTCAGTCAATGTGTCAGTCGGTAACGCGTGAGTGAATAGTGGTATTTGTTGCTTGGCTCAAACGAAATAAAAAATGGCACATGTTTACGAAAATGGTGAACTTGTGGACATGATTCTTATTTACGGGGGGGGGGGGAGTCTTTACAAAATGCTGCCGCGGCATCACGGATTTATCGGTTCCCAATCGAGTGCAACCAACCCCTCGTGCCGTTGTTAATGTAGTACAAAGGGCTCGTGAATCAGGTGACTTAAGACCTCACAGGGGAAGGCATGCCGGTGCTCCAAGACCGCACGATCAAATACAGGTCCGCACTGAAATACTTGTCGGGACGATACTTTATAAAACAAGGTAACATTTTTTTTTGTTTTTGTTTATTTTGACACACATATTTTGGTTTATCTTCCTTCTACAATCATTATCTGAAAATTAATGACTCAACTTCAAAGTATATGTATATAACAAAAAGTAGGAAAATAATGGGCAAAATCCGAATAAGATAAAAGCTGAGGTGTGTAAGTTTTTTTTGATACAAAATTCAGCACTCCAAATTTCAAAATGACGGACTGAGGGGTTGCCAAAGTGGGGGGTTTTTCTAGACAAAACACCTTATATCTCAGTTGCTAATTACCAAAACCCCATAGTATGTGATATCATTTTTCTTCTTTTGAATTGGTTTATCCAAATATGCAATAAAGTTTGAGGCATTCCATTTGAAGAATCACAACTTTGATATGTAGGTCAAAATTGGTACACCCTGTATAATGGCCAATATTTTAGAAATGTGCTCCCAAGTGTCATGTATAACATCCCTTAAATAGATTTTCCCAAAATGTATTTGTTTATGAGTAATATCCCGTCCACACATGGATGGGCCACCCTGTATATATACAGGGTGACTTTGAAGTTGAGTCATTAATTTTCAGATAATGATTGTAGAAGGGAGATAAACCAAAATATGTGCGTAAATATAAAAAAAATAAAAAAATGTTACCTTGTTTTATAAAGTATCCTCCCGGCAAGTATTTCAGTGCGGACCTGTCTTTGATCGAGCGGTCTTGGAACACCGGCATGCCCTCCCCTATGAGGTCTTAAGTCACCTGATTCACGAGCCCTTTGTACTACATTAGCAAAGGCACGAGGGGTTGGTTGCACTCGATTGGGAAACCGTTTCGCACAAATCTGTGATGCCGCGGCAGCATTTTGTAAAGACTCCCCCCCGTAAATAAGAATCATGTCCACAAGTTCAGCATTTTCGTAAACATGTGCCATTTTTCATTTCGTTTGAGCCACGCAACAAACACCACTATTCACTCACGCGTTACCGACTGACGAAAAACATCGTGATAAGCGTTTCAAATTCTTTCGCTTTTTTGTTTCCGATGCGATGAACCGATAAGGCGGATTATATCCGTTGTTGCCAAACACGAGCACATAATATTATTATTGAGACAGGGCGGTACTCAAACTTCTAAAGGGCTATAACTTTGTTACTTTAATTTTACCAGAAAAATGTTAAAGGAAAAAACATTTCTTTTGATCAGATCTACTCACTGTTAAAATAAATGACTCAACTTCGAAGTCACCCTGTATATATATATATATATATATATATATGTTATATCATTTAAATTCAACTTTACTTTTAAAAAAATGTATTTGAGGACAGTAGCTACTGTCCGTTACAAACGTTTACAATTACTTGACTTGACGGAGTCAAACCGGGTATTCAACAACATGAAATGGGCGCAAGGCCTATTTATACTATTGGTGTGCTTACAAAGCACTTCTAGAAAACAAAGCATAAGCAACGAGTTAGCGAGAAGTCGCTATCAGTTGCTGAGCTAGCGTCTGGTGCAACATTGTATGGAATAGTAAGTCCATTGTTGTGAGTGCATATAACATATATATATATATATATATATATATATTCTAAGACACGAAAAATTTTGGCGAGCCGCTGCCGGTCACGAAGGGGTACTGCTGTGTAGTTGCTGCTCTGATAGCTGAGGGAACGACGATCGGCCGCCGACTCTGGCAGAGCGAGCTGTAACGTCGAGCAGTGCACATCGTGCTCGGATAATCCTGCCGCTCCGAAATTACGCCAAATCGTTGTGCTATTATTATTGTTGTTAATACAAGTTGACTGGTGGAAAATTAGTGTTTGACTATCCGTGTTTCTAACATCAGAAGTGGGATTGTGCCCAGACGAGCACAGTGGATTGAAATCATTGACGTTTTCTTTGTCTTGTGAGAACAAAGGATAACGGTACATCGTTGTGATTGCTGCGTCATAGTTTAAAACAAAAGACTGTTCTGCGTTGTGTGTTTGGATCAAGTCTTGGTGTTCCTGATAAAGAAACTCAATTTAACGATGGCTTCAACAGACGAAGATCCCACCCAGTCGCTGGTAGCAGAATTGGTAAAGGCCTTGCAGTCCCAAAGGTCGGCAGAACAGGTAGATTTGCCCTATTTTAGATCCGAAATAAACGAATCGAGTAAATGGGTAAGTCAAATTGAAGTCATTGAGCGTGAATTTGGATGGTCTGACGTTCAAACTCTGGCAAGGATTGGCCGATTTTTATTGAGTGGTGCAAAGAGATGGTTCGAACGTTGGAACCCAGACAACAGGGATTGGGCTACTTTTCGAGTTCACTTTGCTGAGGCGTTTCCTCCTAAAAGAAATTTGGGTCGTTTTTTGGAGCAGGCAGCAAAATTTAACAGTTATTTTGTCAACACGTATGAAAGTTATGTGCATGAGAAATCATCTATGCTTAAAAATTTACGTGCAAATTGGTGCGAAAGTGATTTAGTCGAACTCATTGTTTATGGAATCTCTGAACTAGAGGTGCGCAATGCAGCGATGAATGCTAACTGCAGAACTATTTCTGAATTATTGGTTTTCTTGACACCTCTTGTTAAGCCGTCGTGCAATCACAGACAAAATATAGCCGAAAGTGATTCGTCTACTCTCATAAGGAAATATTCATCTGTTGACAAGCAAAAAGGTGGTTTTGTAAAAAACTCTAAGAAGTGTTTCCAGTGCGGAAAATCTGGACACTTTATAGCGAATTGTGTGAAGAAAACTAAATTGGTATCAGACGACAGATACAATTCCATAGGTCAGCGTGACTTACCAAGCACATCTCATAGTTCTGAAATTTGTAGTTTTTGTGCTAAGAAAGGTCACAGCGTATCGAATTGCTTTACAAAAGCTGCTATTGATAAACATCGCAACATAAACTTTTGTTCTAGTGGAAAACCAGTTGGGTCCACCGAAATATTAATTGATGGTTATCATTTTTTCTGTTTAGTTGATACTGGAGCTGATTTATCATTGATATCTGATAAGTTCCTCTACTTATTTGATAATAGGGTTGTTAGCTGCAATGTTATTTTGAAAAGACTAGCTAACGTTACAATTAAGGCTACAAAGAAGTTTACAGGTTGTGCGAAAATGTCTGGTGTTGATATTCCGATGTATTTTATTTTTGTTTCTGGTGAGTGTCTCGATTATGATGTTTTGGTGGGGCGTAATATTTTTGAAGATGAAAGTCTCGCCACCATAACAGATCATCAAGGATCACGCGTTGTGCGACGTCAGCTGCCTGGCATAAATCGCGTTTCAGAAGATTTTGATGCTTTAGTCACAGAAGTTGAAGTACCTGAAGAACATCGCGTGGGTCTTGAAGTTATATTGCAAGATTTTAGTGGCATGATTACAACAGGCGATAAAGTTGGTGCAGTGAATAATGTCTGCCTGAAAATTCGTCTTGAAAAAGAAGTAATCTTCCGCATGTCGATTATTTCAGCAGAAATCCTGCACAAACAATTCTCCGAGTGCCGCATAACAGTTGGGCATACATAGAGCAAAAAGGAAACGAAGAAGTTCAGAACATGCTACGACAACTCGGAGAAGGCAACCTTGATGCAAACCAGTATGCTAAAGAGGATGAAATGCTTTATCCCAAACAAGTAAATGCAGATGGTACGAAAAATTTGCAGTGGTTCGTTCCTAGGCAAAGTCGTTTAGGCCTACTTCGCATTTTCCATGATGAGCAGTGTCACGTGGGACCCGAAAAGACATACGAGTCTATCGCTCAACATTTTTGGTTTCCGAGGTTGAGAAACTTCATCAAATGCTACGTCAAGCACTGTGTAATTTGCGCAGTAAAAAAGACAAGAACAGGTCCTCTACAGGGGTTCATACGACCAGTGGACATACCGGAGCCATTTCATACGTTGCACATGGACTGTTTGGGTCCTTTACCAGCTTTAACTGATGGTTATAAGCACGCTTTGGTAATGGTGGATGCTTTTACCTAGTACTGCATTTTGACGCCTATGAAGTCTGTGACAACAGCAGAGGCGCGTGAAAAGCTGCAAAATGTTCTAGCGCTGTTTGGAACTCCCAAACGAATAATAATGGACGCTGCCACGTTATTTAAGAATACCTCGTTTCCAAAGTACCTGGATCGATGGGGCATCGAATACCAATATGTAACTCCAGATGTGCATAGGGGAAATGGGCAGGTGGAACGCTATATGCGAACCATTAGAAATCTTATGAGAGTTGAAACCCAAATAAGGACAGAATGGCCGAACGGACTATGGAAGATCCAACTTGTTCTCAACTCGACTATGCAAAAATCCATAAATGCAACTCCTTTGCAGCTGCTTTTGGGTATCCGAAGCTCGACTCCGATGATACAAGCTGTGCTAAAGGATGTGTCTAAGAGCCGTTTTACACACAAGAGAATTACTCCGAAAATTATGGTCATAATTATGCCGAAAATTTGCATGGAAAAAATATTGAAGATTGTCTCTACAACCTGTATGACACCAGCAAACAAAATTTCGGAGTAATTCATATGATACGCCTGCGCATTAGAGTAATATTTTGGAATGGACATAACCTTAACGGGTGTGACATCCAATATAATCGGAAAGACAACAGACGTCGTTGATTTATATGTATGAAATCGAGATCTTGGTTAATATTATAAAAAATGAATTTGAGTCAATCTGATTTACTCTTAACTGCTGCAGTGACTTGTTGTGTCTTAATATACCAGTTAACCAAAAACAAATTAGGTAGTAGAAAAAGATCTCAGTGGACAAAAAAGTGGCTGCAGAGAAAAAAGGGTAGAGGTACTTTAGCTCTTTTAAACAGGGAGCTACGAGTAGAGGATACGAATGCTTATAGAAATTTTCTTCGCCTTGATGATACTCAATTTGATTACCTGTTAGCATTGGTCGAACCTCATATAAAAAAGGAAGACACTTTCATGAGAGAAAGCATAAGTGCCCAACACAGGTAGTAAGATAGCAATAATTATTTGTTTTTGTTTATTATACAACACATGCATAAAGCCTGTATAGTTTTGATTTGGCATCATATAAATTTGGACAATTGAATTTACTTTTGACCTATGTATATATAGCTAATGGGACTTATTGTTTTTAGGCTTGATGTCACATTGCGTTTCTTGGCTACTGGTGAAACATATAGAAGTCTCATGTACAGCACAAGAATTCATGAGAGCACAATTTCTAAAATTGTTCCAGAAACATGCTTAGCATTATGTAGATGTTTGAAAGATGTTTATTTGAAGGTATTTCAATTCACTATGATTTCTATAACTAGATCATTTAACTGTTACTTAAATCGTAGAATCCAACTACAGATGATTGGTTGAAAGTTGCTGCAGATTTCCAAAGCAAGTGGAATTTTCCAAATTGTCTTGGAGCATTAGATGGCCGTCACATAGCTTTTAGCCCACCTACATCTGCTGGATCATATTACCACAATTACAAAGGCACAGACAGTATGGTTTTACTAGCTTTAGTAGATGCCAATTACAAATTTATCTATGTGAATATTGGTGTTAATGGCCGAATTAGTGATGGGGGGGTCTTCAGTGCTTGTGGACTTTATAAAAGAATGCAAAACAAGACACTTAATCTGCCACCAGACAGAGCTCTTCCTGGTAGGACAAATAAAGTGCCTTATGTTTTTATAGCTGATGAAGCATTCCCATTATCTAATCATTTGATGAAACCCTTCCCACAACGTTCATTGACATATGATAATAGAATTTACAATTACCGTCTGTCAAGAGCTAGACGAATGGTGGAGTGTGGCTTTGGAATACTAGCAAACAGATGGAGAGTTCTATTACAAAAAATACACTTGGGACCAGAAAAAGTTGAACTCATAACATTAACCTGTGTACTTTTACATAACTTTTTAGTTAAAAGAGAATGCTATGTACACTACTGAAGGCACGTATGACATTGATCCATCCCAACTGTTACCTCAAATTTCACAGCAAATTGGGAATCGATCAGGAAATTCTGCGAGATCAATCAGAGAAGAATTTAGGGATTATTTCAATTCAACATCTGGATCTGTGCCATGGCAAGACACAGCTTTACAAAGGAACATTTCATAAAATATTGAGTCAAATAATTATTTCTATTATTGTACCGTATTGTATACAGAAATAAAATAATGAAGTATCCATTTAATGCTCTTTAATTGAAAAACATCATTTCCTGCACCTTCGCAGGGCAGTATTTAATACATTTACAATTTCAGCTTCAACCTCATCTCTTATCTCACTGTCCGTTATTCGGTCAAGCTTTGAGGCAACATATTCCCCAAAGATCTGGTTAGAGGATTTCTCCCTGGTTTGTCCCAGTCTTTGGGAAATATGTTGCAAGGTACTTTTGACCTCCCCCATAACATCTGTATCTTCTTCTTTCCTTTTCCTTTTTTTGGGGGCACTTGTCATGCTCACCCTTGAAGAGCTTCTAGAGTGGCTTGGCGTGCTGATATGCTCCAAAGCCCCTGATGGTGATACTGCCGCCGAGAGCACCTCCTCTGCTAAGGCATCCTCATCATCTGCTTGTTCAATCTGAAATGAACAGGTAGTAATATAGAATAAAGTTTTCTAGTTTTGGCAAAATAGGTATAAATATACGTTATATTTACATTAAATTAATGCTTGATTAGATTTGGATATGAAAAATCATGAAACAGTAAAAAGAATGAAGGTAATGACCAGTTTCATGACAATGTAACACCAGCTTGTACTTGGCATGTTATTTGTTACATAAATAATATGGAGTACATGGTCATAGGTCCATTCTGTTATCATAAATGCAAAAGTATTGATGACTATTCAGCAAAGCTCAAGTGTACTTTTAGGTTTAGACAAAATCACTGTTGAATTCAGATTTAAGTGAAATTTGGGCTTTGACCATAGTGAAATATGCAACACAACATCGGCACTTACCAATGTTATATCTTGTTCTTGAACATCTTCGCTTTCCAAAGAATCGAATGCTCCTCTTTCTTCACTATTGTCAAACACATAGCCAATCAAATTATGATACCACAGTGATGGCTCCGTGATCTGTGAAAAATATTACTTTTAACACTCAATCAGATACATAATATACATAGTGGAAGTGAAATATGCAAACATATAGAAAAAACTTACATCATCTGAACCAGCGCCGCTTCTTTGCGATTCCAAACATTTTCGCCTCTCCTTGCTGGCATTTTGTTTCAAAGCTTGAAACTTTGCTTGTACATCCTGTGCTGTCACGTTAGGTTTCAAACTTCTCAATGCTTGGACTACCGCATCCAGCGCCTGACGCCGCAAATTTCTATTTTTGTAATTGGCTGACTTCACCTTGTACAGGTTTGGCCATTTTTGGTACTCCTCCAACAACAGTGTAACTTCTTCCCGATTTCACGACATTATGAATAAACAATAAACATAAACGCTTCTTCGTACGACTCGAACAGGACCACTCCAACAAATGTTAAGTGAGGTTATGTTGTTGTTGTTGTTGTCGTTGACATTTGATATTGACATGCACGGAAATAACCCTCTGCGCCGATTCTCGCGCATATAATATAGAACGGGTTTTATATTTTTACCATGAAAATTTTCACAAGAATTCTTTTACGTGTAATACGACAGCAAAAATTTTCGGCATAATTATGACCATAATTTTCGGAGTAATTCTCTTGTGTGTAAAACGGCTCTAAGGATCTAACTCCTTTGCGCAACCGAGATTTGGATTGACAGCGATTAGCGAAAAGGCTATTCGCCGCAAATAATTACAACGCTGTGAACAAAAAAGAAGGGACAAAGTGTAATTTTCAGTCGGTGATTTTGTACTGATGCACCGGGACTCTCAGATGCACGTAAGCAAGAGCGACTATGAGTTTCTTGGTCCTTATGAAGTGGTTAAATGTTTTGAAAATGGACGTTATGAGATTAAGAAGGTTGGAACAACCATCATAACAAAGGCAGCTAAGGAACAGTAAAGATCATGACCTGTACAGTGGTCCTCCAATGTTGATATGGGAGATATACTTGAGTTTTTGGAGGCTTAGGAAGAACCACGTCAGTAAATTTCTGGTTCCATTCTGCGATGTGCTGTCTTGCTTAATGTTGGTCTCTATCTCGTCAGAAGTAGAGCCAAATGGAGGCCGAGATCTCCATGCAAACTGCAACCTGGTCTCTGTCTCGTCAGTAGTAGAGCCAGCTGAAGGCTGCGGTCTTCAGGGGTGTTGTAACATGGTCTCTGTCTCGTCAGTAGCAGAGCCAGCTGAAGACTGACATCTTCAGGGATACTGTTATTATGGTCTCTGTCTCGTCAGTTACAGAGCCAGCTGAAGGCTGATGTCTTCAGGGATACTGTTATTTTGGTCTCTGTCTCGTCAGCAGCAGAGCCAGCTGAAGGTTGAGGTCTTCAGGGATACTGTTATTATGGTCTCTGTCTCGTCAGATGCAGAGCCAGCTGAAGGCTGAGGTCTTCAGGGATATTGTAAGATTGGTCTCTGTCTCATCAGTAGCAGAACCAGCTGAAGGCTGAGGTCTTCAGGGATATTGTAAGATTGGTTTCTATCTTGTTAGTAGTAGAGCTACTAGTACTGAAGTTTTAGAGTTTTATTTTAATGAGACGGTCATCGCCGTCACTGTTAAAGGTTTATTTGATTGAATTTACGTGCAATTCTGTAATCGAATTGTGAATTTTGGTCTTAGTACCGGTAGTGGTTGATTCAGATTTGAATCATATTTGTGGGATAATAGTTGTGGCAAGTACACGGAGTGTTTTGCATATGCTTTTGATTCACAGATTCGGCCTGTGGTGCAGAGGGCGTCGAGAACGTCGCAGCCGTCAGGAAGGCCGTGTAAAGAAACAAAAAATTTTGGCGAGCCGCTGCCGGTCACGAAGGGTGCTGTGTAATTGCTGCTCTGATAGCTGAGGGAACGACGATCGGCCGCCGACTCTGGCAGAGCGAGCTGTAACGTCGAGCAGTGCACATCGTGCTCGGATAATCTGCCGCTCCGAAATTATGCTAAATCATTATGCTATTATTATTGTTGTTGATACAAGTTGATTGGTGGAAAATTAGTGTTTGACTATCCGTGTTTCTAACAATATATATATATGCCCTTAGCTCCCTTAAAGTGTGAATAGCCGTACTTTTTTCCCCCGCATTTCGTCAAACGCTAGTAGCTTGCTTTATTGATTCTGTAGGATCGATCATTTATCGTGAAATAGAACACGTCAATGGTGAAGGTACCCTATAATGAAAAGTACCAAAAGCATTCCAAAAATAGATAAATAAAAAATGAAATATATGACAGTCACAAAAACATTGAACAAAGAAATACAACACAGTCGCTACATATTAAAATAAGGATTGGCCGAGTTAAAATATATAAATAAATAAATAATACAAAAACCATAAATAATATGCTACAGTTGAAAATGTATATTTGAAATAGTTAAGCATCTTGATGGTCTAGCTGGATATCTAAGATATATTCGTCCAAAGAAGTACGCTCTGTGTGTTAATAGAGCTTTAAATTTATGTCTAAGTAATGGAATAGGCAAAATTTTAATAATGTTTGGCAATTTATTGAACAGCCTGATACCCAGTTGATTTGGGCTGACTTCTGTTCTTGACGGCCTATGAGCAGGAATTTGCAGTACAAGCGAATTCCTAGTCGAGTGCTCATTATGGTCGTTTAATTTTGGAAACTCATCTGTGAGATTTCACACGTATCAACAGCTTGAAGATATACAGGGTGACTTTGAAGTTGAGTCATTAATTTTCAGATAATGATTGTAGAAGGAAGATAAACCAAAATATGTGTGTAAAAATAAAAAAAAAAATTTTACCTTGTTTTATAAAGTATCCTCCCGACAAGTATTTCAGTGCGGACCTGTTTTTGATCGTGAGGTCTTGGAGCACCGGCATGCCGTCACCTGATTCACGAGCCCGTTGTACTACATTAACAAACGCACGAGGGGTTGGTTGCACTCGATTGGGAAACCAATCCGCATAAACATGTGCCATTTTTTATTTCGTTTGAGCCACGCAACAGACACAACTATTCACTCACGCGATACCGACTGACACTGACTGTATACAAATGAATAAAATAATTGTAAAAACATCGTTCCAAATTCTTTCGCTTTTTTGTTTCCGATGCGATGAACCGATAAGGCGGATTATATCCGTTGTCGCCAAACACGAGCACATAATATTATTATTGAGACAGGGCGGTACTCAAACTTCCAAAGGGCTATAACTTTGTTACTTTAACTTTACCAGAAAAATGGTAAAGGAAAAAAACATTTCTTTTGATCAGATCTACTCACTGTTAAAATAAATGACTCAACTTCGAAGTCACCCAGTATATATATGAGAAGTAGTCATTGCCAAAGCCAACGACTAGTTGGGTACAAAATACAATTACTTGTAAATTGGTAAAACTTTTAGGCTAAAGTTGACTCTTTTGACGATAAAATCAAGCTTTCGGCATTCTCTATGGAGCCATCATCAGGATTTTGAAAACACAATTATTGTGATGCTAGCAAAGAAGACAGAATTAAAATGTCAGACAACTTACTCGTCGGTGAGGTTGCAGCCACAAGGTGTTTCAGAAAGAACGTAGAGAAGATCGAACTTGTCTTCAGTATAAAAAACAAAAGGACGGGGACATTGGGCTTGTTAAAAACGACAGATACCTTCGTTAAAAGTTAAGAAAAATAAATTTTTTTATCAATATATATATATATATATACACATATAATGATCATGCGGAGATAGGTATACGAGAATAACAAATAGAAAAAATAACGGGGAAAATCCGCAAAAAAAGGAAAGTGGATTCGACCAGAGAATATGATAGGTAACCCGAGCGATACGTATTTCTACTTGTTGGCTTGATCAGGCACAAAATGAATGCATATATGCCACTACAAAAGAAGATACACATGCCCATACATCCGGCTACGGGTGTAACCTACGGAAACGAAGATGGAGATGGGAAAAATGACACACGAAGTCACCCTTTGAGAGGAAAAGCTAACTCAGAATAATATATAAACTTATTTTCCACGTCACCGCCATTGTTCTAAATATCATACCAATTCTCCTTCCTTAATAGGTCCAGAAAATGATTAATGTTCTACATTGCGTGTTTGTCTGAACTGATACTTTATGTTTAACAGTGTTACCCTTAATGCTTATGCCTATCAGTTGCGCTAAATGATCGCTGATATTACCATTAAGAAATGCGCAACAATATTCTCAGCCCTCCAGATTCATACAGATGTTGTCCAGATATGATTTTTCCCTAGAAGGTTCCTTTATATGGATGTTATGTTCCAGGAGCTGAGAAGATCTGATAGATTATTTAAATGCCTACTAGGAGATAAGAAATCAACATTGAAATCTCCACAGATGACTTTTTACATTTATATGCATATTTTACACATCATAGATTTCTCTGTACATTAGCCCTGAAAAATATTCTCGGGAGACGGATCGCGTAATTATCGGCCGCAGCTGCTGCTGGTGTCTTGCGCCGACCTTGATGAGTGTTCTGGTATGGTATGGAATCACACGTATTTCTGCCGTGCAACTGCATAATGTTTTCTATACTCTGACCGCGCTACCACGGTGCCACATCTGCCCGAATTAGGTATCGGAGGGAGGCGACGTTTCCAGATGCGATTTAGTTTATAGGTGATTTTGTTTTTATGTGTAAAAATCGAAATACTGTCGTGGACAGGGAAAGAGGTATCCACAATTCAGCGTTGAGCAATTTGTGTTTCATCATTACTTCGGGAGATCCATCCAAACCAGCTAGTTATTACAACTTGTTCTGTAAGTGGCATCTGTTATCTAACAGGTCTTCAAGTTGACCAAATACGGTGAAAAGAAACACATGCATGGTTGCACAACCAAATAAACGCTTTAAATTTTTATAATTACAAGCAATTATTTGTTATTACGATTTTTACTTATACCTAACTTTTATTGATTATGAAATGGTGATGGTGCACGACCCAAATGTGTGACAAGTATGAAAGTTTTTTATTGTGGGATAATTACGCGAATCGTAGTCTTCAGCTAGTACATGTAAAAAATATTATTTTCAAACTTTGTTTGCATTGACATCCATATTAGCGGCACTAGTGAAACCCGACTGCATATACGTATACATGTACCATAAGTTGACGTCAAGCCGGAAACTGAGGGTAGGCCAAGTCAGAATAGTTATCAGAAAAATATAAAAAATCCAAGTCGTTTACTTTTCTAATTATAGGATTTAACAAGCAGCAAGACACATAGTAACTTACACGAGTGGCATGTAGAAAATCCACATTTGATGAGACAAGATTGATCACAGTATCGTTTTAAAGTAAACATGTGGACCGAGATTCTAAATGTGAGAATCATTGTATCCTTTAAGCTGCCATAGTTCTTGAATGGCGCAATTTATTTAGACTTTTTAAAAAATTATTTACCAAACTTGTTGTAACACGTGCCATTAAGCATTTACAGAGTCATGTGGTACCTGCAAGACGGCTATTATGACTTGGCCTATACCCCGTTTCCGGCTTGACGTCGACTTCTGCGACATCCTGTTTTATTGCGAAATCATGTTGAAATCGAGTACGTGATTGATAATATAAATCAATATTTCTATTTGGAAATGATTTGTAATTTGTACCGCCATTTGAGCCACCCCTTGTCTTCGGAAATCTAATCTCCGACGTTTTCACAACTCTCATTCTTACGCGCCACACATCATCCCCACCTTTCCAGAGCCAACTCGGATCAATAACGGACCCGTGGAGACGTCATTCCTCTGTTGCCAAACTTCAGCTAAAAGTGAAGCTGAATACTCGCAAACCATTGTATTTTGAAAATATGGATACGTAAAGTTCCAATTCTATGTTCAAAGATAAAAACAACAGATCACACGGATTCA